ATGAGTAAGGGTCTGGTCATAAGAGCTGGGTGCGTAAGGAAAACTCTGCAGTGCGCAAGGTTGCGTAAGCTTTTTGTGCGCGTAAGTTTTTTGCGTTTGTTGTTTTGCAGTTTGATGTGTGAACAGCTTTGGTTGAGGAGGTTTGTTGTGTTTACTGGTACTTGGTCTTAGGTTTTCTTGGGCGAAGACCGAGCCACTAAGACAAGAGATGCTCAACCTAGTCAATGCCTGCTTTCATTGGTACATGATTCCTAGAAACAGGAACCTTACAAAGATCGAGGAGAGTCAAGGCATTTTCCGCGTAAGGCGCGCGTAAGCTCCGCGTAGGCAGCCCAAACCTAAAGCCTTTTGCCACCTGCACCAAAAATACGCACTTCAGAAAAGCTTCCGCTCTGCTCATATGCCAACACCAAAAAGGTCCATGGAGGAGAAACTCTTGGCGGTGTCCACGAGGCTTGGTGTTGCATTGGTGTGTCTAGTCTGTGGCACACGTGTGGCCAAATTCGTTTTGTGATGTCGCTGTGCCATGCGGTTTCGCGTGGCCTCAGTGGAAAGTGCGTTTGCGTGAGTCCGTGCCAAAGGGGGGAGGAAAGCATGCTTCTGCAAGTAGTCACTCTTGAAGCCCCATCGTTGTACAAAGAGCGCGTCGCACAAGCATGTTCCCAGCGGATTCGCGAAAAGTCTGCGAAGCTTGGCTGCGTAAGGGTGGCGTAAGCAACCACTTCCCCCCACATGCCACGTAAGAAAACCTGTGGAGCGCGTAAGAAAAGCCTATGTGCTGCGTAAGCAACGTTTTACAACATAGGAGCTTATCAAGCCTTTCCAGCACAGCTCACTTGTTACCTCCAGTGCCCCCACCAGAGGAAGGGCTGTGAGGCGCGTTCAGACTCGTTCGCAAGTTGGCGAGGTTAACCGTAGTGGTCGGCACTTGCACTAACTTATTGTGAGGAGCAGCTTTATTCGACAAAGTATATTTAATTTATGTATATATGACAGTTCAGAACAATACTGCGTTGCTAAATAGTGTTGCTGCTTTGGGGCTGGTTGTGTTTGTGCGGATGCTGACACTGATTGCAGGATATCGCAGGCGTCGAAGGTGATGTTTAGGAGGTGCATCAGAGAATGTTTGTGACACTGCTGTTGCAAGAAGTGATGCGAGGAGAATCGTAAACGCGTATGCCTTGCCAGACACGAGATGGCGCAAGACGCGCCAAGAAAAGGCGTGTATAAGAGGACTTCAAATTGTTGTTTTTTCCAATTATTGATAATCCAGTGCAACATTGTTACCACGCACGGTTCCTTCTTGCATAAATATTTTTTTCACCATGGAGATTGTAGTGGGGGTTAGGTGATGATTGAGACCAAGTTGTCCCGGGGCTGGTTGTGGGTTTGCATTGGGGGGGTTTAACATGGCTAATTTGCAAAGTCTCAGAATACTGTTTGAGGCTAGGCGAATGATATAAGGCTTGTTTGCAGGCTGGTTATCACCGAGGGACTGCGTATGAGTATTCAGTATTACTGAAGGAAGGTGCCAACCTTCCATGATTCCTTTTCTTTACAACAAATGATATCGCGGTGCTTCAATTCAGACTTGGGAAGACCAGAATTCAATTTCATCAGCAGTGTCAGAAGGATAGCTTTGCCACAGGAATCAGAAGGATAAGGATAGCTTTGCCACAGGAATGGAGACACACATACCAATACTATTATATAGCAGTTTATATATAAATACATATCCCCTGCAAGTAGTTTGGGGGCGTAGGAAATTGTCAGCATTCGCTCATCACTATACACTCTCCTTTGAATGGGCAAACATTTGCATACACATGCGTGCACACCTACCTATTTCTGTACGGATCGCAAGTCTGAGGCACCGCCCAGCTGGAAAGGGCATTGATGCAGGCCCAAGCGACAAGACATCAGTTGTGACCAATAGTACTGTGTTTCCACGCGTCCGGCGGAAGCTCATGGCCTCGTTCTCACATACCTTTTTACCGCATCTTCCCTTACTGTATTGTTGTGGATGGGATGCTTCCTAATTCAGACCAGAATGGAGTCAAAGTCGGATGCTTGATTTATGATGATTCGGTGGAAGAAGAGCGAGTGAGTTGACAACATACAAGGGGACAACGATTGTGTGTATGAGCACTGTATTCACCAACTTGTGCTTGGGTTTCTCTCTCCTTCCCCTTGCTGGTCGCTGGGAAAACCTTTGCGACCAACCTTGCCAACGAGCCCCTTCTCGAAGTCCACTATGCACTCTGCCTTTACGCTGCGCGCCTGATCGCCGGGCACACTTGCGCACTACTTTTGGAAACGACTGCGGCCAAGCAAGCGCAGAGACTCAACCAGTTTGCTGTTGCATCAGGCCGCCTTGCCACACGCTTTTCCGGCGGTTTCCATCAAGTGCCACCAGTCGGCACTTCTTGTTTGATCAACGCCCCGAAAGCTTTCCGTCATGGCGTTTGCCCTCATGATCCAACGGTCATGCGTTCTCAGATTGATATGCTATATTGGCGCTGGCTTGTGGCAAAGCTTTGGAGCCATTCTTGTTCTGAACCCTCCAACAACTTCTCGATGAGTTGCTTCCGACAAAGGTCCCCCCGATGAATCCTAGCAATCTTGTTCCATCGGGCCCAAATGACCAGCGGCTCTTGGTGCCCAAGTTCCAGCCCCAGTATTGCCCATGTAGTCGCATTGCGCCATTCCATCTGGACAGTTGGCGTTTGTATGTTCTAATATATTATATAAACAGATTGCATCACCAAGAAAACATGTACCACTTCACCACCGGTCAATTGTTCAATTGCTGTGGACGGGTGCGGATGCCTGCGAATGGCTGGGGTGCTGCTCACCTGGCACCCCTTTGCAGTTTGGCCTAATGCCTCAGGATTGCTCACTTCATGAGGGGCCAACCAGGTTTATGTTTTGCGTCTCCACCAGATACCAGCTGTTGGTTTGGTTTGGTACGCAATGCAGTGCGTGTTCTGGACTGTATGAGTGTTCCAGCGCGATGCGCAGTGTTGTGTTAGCAGTAACACGTCCCCACGTCCATGCTCTGTGTGTGGTGTCCCACACAATTTGGTATCCCTACAATGCACCAAAGCAGCTTTGCACCCTGTGGCGCGACAAACAAGTAACATGGTCCAGTGCCCGTCAAACTGTGGGTGGTTATGAAATGTGTTGAGTGCTTAATTTTGTGTGCGAGCAGGGTTTGGGTGACGAGCCAGACATGCCTGGCTGTATTGCTAGCCACAAGCAGGTCTTGACTGAAATATTGAACAACTGTCACCCGGCCGAATCCTGCACCTCCGAAGACGAAGCAATTCAACATTTTAATATTAATATGTAAATATATATATATATATATACATGTGTGTGTTCTTCAATATCACAATGTGCACCTTGATGGAAAAATCCCTCTTGTGGAGTTGCAACACATAGGACCTTAGGAGTGCGAATGGATTTTGGCAGGCTGGTAGAGGCACGTCGCGGCCTTGTGTCACAGCCTGTGGCCCAGAGTGCTGTTTGTCAAACCTTCCCAACTCAACGTCTCCTGCAGCCACTGCAGGCTCACAATAGCTCCTTGGACTGTGCATTCACAAGAGAACTTGTTCTTTTCTTGTGTGTGTGTGTGCGCGTTTTTGCATGGAGGGGCATGAGGAAGAGAGCCGCATGTTATAAGATATTATTTATGATTTGTTGTTGTTGCTGCTGGAAGTGACCAAGGAAGTAAAATTGCATGTTTTGAGGTTCAAAGTTGGGGAGTCGATTAAAGTTGCCCCTCAAGACTTTTCATGGTTTAAAGGTATTTGGAAGCTACTGCCTACTGCTTGCCAAATTCGAAGATCCCCAAAGTTGTTGTTTGAGGCTTGTGCGGGCAAATAAGGTTGTGCAAAAGTTTAGTTTTTGAGGGGTTGGCTGAAAAAGACAGTTTGTTTGGCACTTGGACAAGATCATCAATCTCCATGCTAGGGAGCAGCCTTGGATCTAAGGCTTTTTACAACATTACAAAATGCATCCACATGCTTATCAAGCAACATGCTAGACTGGTTTTACTTGATTCAGCTCCAGCGTTTTGGCAGGTTCTACACAGTGACCCAGAGTAAGTGTGGCGTTTATGATGTTTCCACAAGCCAGTTGAGTTTGTAATGAATGCTGCTGAATGCGATTGTCTCCTAACAGCCGAAGCAAGGTGCTGGGCGAGTTGGTCCATCCTGATCCAAGGTGGGCGTTGGGCTACACCTAACCTGATTTGCGAATTGTGTTTGTAGGCTTACAGAATCTTGGCAGATTCCCGCAAGGCAGTGGCTTGGTGTGAGGGTGCGTTTGCAAAAATTTTCAAGCACGGAGGATCTCCTGAATTGAGAATCCTTCGAAAGGTGAGTCCAGGTGAAGGCCTGGCAACTGGAATAGTGTTTTTTTGTGGCATAGTGTGCTTCAATGCCTTAGCATGTAGCATCCTCAAAGCTTATGACTGCCATCCCTTGCCATCCATGAGTTTTTGCAACCTTGAAATCAAGGCACCATGAGTGTTGGTTCGTGCTGTGGCTGACAGTCATGCATTCAATAAAAGTTCGTCCAACACGGCCAGAAAATTTGTGTTGGTCTTCGATGGATTTGCATTCTTGATTGAAGCATACTGACACAAAAGGGTCCAGCTACGCGGTTCACCGGTGAACTTCCGAAACAAATTGTTGCAGTACAACAGTTCTCGCATCAACACGCTTGACAAGTGCATAGGAACCATTGCGAATCGATGTTTGTCTCAAGTTGCTTGAACAATTTGAACACCGATAGCACCACATTCAGAATATAATTCGGATATCTTTTGGATTCTAGAAATGACAAGCACAATCATGCACAATCTTAGAGTTGAACGAAAATTGTCAGGACCAGCGCAAAAACTTGCCAGGGTGCTGCGTGCTATGTTCAGTTTCTGCAGGGTCAATCAAGGCAGCAACTGTTTGGCACCGATCATAAATGATATCGTTTGTAGAGACACTCTTACACTAAAAACTGCAATGCAATACAAGAATGTGCTAATCATGCTAATCTGAATGCGACCAGGGAAGGGTCAGACTGATGGCCGCGAAAGGACCCGTTTGGACTTGCCAACCGCTTCTCTACAAGTTGTAGAAGGCTGTAGAATCTGTGCAGTTGCTAGCATTTGCCAGCTGTTGAGGCCGTTTGCACGGGTTGTTGTGTTCCTTTGCACGTGCTACTATACCTTGTCTCCTATCATATTGTGCTACAGTAAAATGTGTCGGCAATACAAAATACTGTATACGCTGCTGCGTCCCCGTAAGTAAAGGAGAACCCCCTTTTACCTTTTTCCCCCGCAGCTCCGGCTCAATCTTGATGTCTACGTGGTGCCACCTGGCGTCTTGTGACTGCAAGGTGTGCACCACATTGAGGCGGCTCATCCGTCACATTGCGGTGTACTGGGACATCTCTGGGTACCTGGACTTTGTGTCGGTGAGCCTCAGAGCCGTGGTGGGCGAGATCAGCGATTGATCCCTCCACTGGCCTGCTCGGAGAAGGTGCGAACGGGAGGCACAAGAGCCAAGAGGAGACGAGGACGTAAGCGAGATAGCGCAAGAAGGATCCTCCACCTCGTAAGCGGAGGGGACGGGGACGCGGTTGGTCCCAAGGTCCAGGCCCTCCTTGAGGAGCAGATCAAGGTTGGGAGGCAGCACAACTTCCAGGAGAGTACTTGGCCTTCAAGAAGCAGCACTGACCAGGGGGTGAATGGCCCTTAATACAGAGGCCGGCAGCGGGTGTTGACGTGAGAAGGGGTAGACGGGTGGTGAAGCAGCAGAGGACGTTGCCACGGGAGCCTTGGTTGGGGCAGAAGTTGTTTGGGATAGGCCTATGGAGCTGGCTGCTGAATTGGTTGGACTGGCCATTACTCAGTGGAACCTCGGACGAGCGACGAGCAGCTTCTCAAATGGCTGACCGCAGAGGACGATCGGGTCGTGCGAGGTCACCTTTGCCCCGAAGGATGCAGCAACAGTCCACAGACCGACGATTTGGTGCACATCAAGAACCTGCGGCGTTTGGACTTCGAGACACCGGGTTGCGCCCGCAATTTGAAGGACGCAGCAGAGGCCAAGGTGCTCCAGAAGCGCAGAGGAGTCCGACCACAGGGCCAAGGAGGTGAAGAGGTGAAAGGCAAGGGAGTTGGAAGTTGGAACCTGCCGGGCGATCTCGGATCAGTTCACAGTTCCAGCAGCAGCGAATCAAGCAAGGAGAAGAAAAATAAAAAGATTATACAAGCATAGACCCCAAACAGCTTCAAAACGATTGGCTTAGACCAACATTAGTCAACAATCGATTTCTTGGTACGCCCTACTTTCACACCAAGAGCAAACTGCTTCATCAATGAATTTTTGTCAGCGCTATTTGTTCGGCCACACTCCTCTCCAGTAAGCCGGGCCACAGAGACCAGCCGCAGAGTCCACAAGGCGCGGCCAAGACAAGGACCAGAGCACCTGCTCTCTCTCGCTCTTTAAGTTTATCTTTCTCCGTCTTTCTCTCTGTAGAGCGCGCTGTGAGCGCGGCTTTCTGGAGCGTATGTCAGGGCGCGCCACAGAGCCCAGCCACACTGCCCAGCCACAGAGTTGACAAAATTCAGGGTCCGGCCAAGAGGAGGACAAAAGGAGGACTGGGCCTGGACACAGAGCCCAGCCACAGAGCCAGAGTTCAGGGGCGCGGCTTTCTAAGATAGAATCCAACAGTAAACTGTTCTGTTTGGGTAAAAAAGAGAAGGACAACAAAAAGAGGAAGGGCAAAGGTTGGAAGGTTTCAGGAAAGAAGGAGCTGAAACAGCTATTCCAATACGCAGGCCTCGATCCAGAGGTTCGCATCAGGAGGAGCGTGATGAGGAAGGCCGCAGAAAAGCGTGATCTTCGCTGTGACCCTCTAGTGGGTTTCTACGCACGGGAGAGCTTTTGGGACTGCGTTCGTGTGATGTCAGCATCCATACTGGGCAAGGGCCAGCCGCCATTAGGCGTTGGACGCAGGTTCAACGCGCCAATCTCATCAGCTTTCCATCGTAAAGCCTGTCATGTTTGTGCATTTTTTGCGCGCCACCGCACGCCACCGCACTGCGCAGCTCGCCCAACCTGAGCAACAACGGATTTGGTCGCCAAACCTGCTACAAATGGATCACATCAACCCTTTTTCCCCAAACAGGTTTACCTGTGAGGGGTTCTTACTCTTTTAAAGGGGTGCATGCTCGGGCCGGATGATTTTGAGTTTGTCTCCGGGCTTGTGTTCCTGGCCGCGTGATTTCACCCTTGTCTCCCACTTGTCTCCCAGTAAGCTCTGGGTGCTCTCAGTGCTCTGGCCGCATGATTTTATACTTGTCTCCCATTTGTCTTCCCAGTTGTCTCCCAGTAAGCTCTCGATGCTCTCAGTGCTCTGGCCGCATGATTTCAGGCTTGCCCCATTTGTCTCCCACTTGTCTCCCAGTAAGCTCTGGATGCTCTGAGTGCTTGGCCGCATGATTTCACACTCGTCTCCCATTTGTCTCCCACTTGTCTCCGAGTAAGCTTTGGATGCTCTGAGTGCTCTGGCCGCGTGATTTCACACTTGTCTCCCACTGGTCTCCCAGTAAGCTCTTGTCTCCCAGTAAGCTCTGGATGCTCTGAGTGCTCTGGCCGCACTTGTCTCCCAGTAAGCTCTGGATGCTCTGAGTGCTCTGGCCGCATGATTTTATACTTGTGTCCCATTTGTCTCCCCACTTGTCTCCCAATAAGCTCTGGATGCTCTGAGTGCGCTGGCCGCGTGATTTTATACTTGTCTCCCATTTGTCTCCCACTTGTCTCCCAGTAAGCTCTGGATGCTCTCAGTGCTCTGGTGCTCTATAGTGCTCTGGCCGCATGATTTCACACTTGTCTGCCATTTGTCTCCCATTTGTTTCCCACTTGTCTCCCAGTAAGCTCTGGATGCTCTGAGTGCTCTGGCCGCATGATTTCACCCTTGTCCCCCACTTGTCTCTGGCTGGATGCTGGGCCGATTAATTTTTTGATGCGCGCAAGGTGGTTGCTCTGTTGTATTTCTGGTGTTTCGAGTTTGAAAGCTGCATTGGCTGCACTGGGCTGTCGATGAGTTTGCCGGCTCAGATCATGAATGACGCATGGTTTAGTGTTGCAGCTTGCCAAACGGACAGCTCGCCATCTTGCGACATGTTATCAGACAAGCTTTGTTATTGATTGCTTCTCGCGAGTGTTGCAACATGCGGAAAGCGCGAAAAGCTCCATCTCAATGGCTGCCCGTCTGGAAGTGCCAGTTTCAGAAGGAGAATCCTAAGAAGGCAGGCCATCATGAGAGCTTGGTTTTCGATCCAACAACATGGATATATATATATATATACTTTTTAATGTATGTATGTATGTATGCATGTATGTATGTATGTATGTATGTATGTATGTATGTATATTTGTAGCATATGCAGATGTATGTTTACATATATATATAAATGGTATGTAAAATGCGGTCTATATATATACATATGTATGTTTTTAGGTCTTTGAGTATGCAAGTATGTTCCGTGTCATGGCAAGCGGCAGGCACATTCTCTTGCTTGGCACCGCTTTACAAGTTATGCTGCGGCTGTGACTATTGGAGAAGCTTTTTGCGGCGGAGCCAATCACAGGGGCTTGGATTTTGCTTATCAACGAGGCTATATGACGTGTCCTGAAGCAGATGAGCAGATTAAAGCTGATTTGGAGGAGCAGGTTGGGGTTGCTGGGAGGGAGGCTTTGATCTATGGATTGATTTTTGTTATGGCTGCTATGTTTTTGTACTTTTGAGCTTTGCAAGTGGCGCTATTCGGTGAGCGCCTTGGAGGAAAGTCTTGTTGAAGCTCACGTGCCTGAAGTTCCAGATCACGACGAAAAACCGGCAGAGAAGGCATTGTTGCTTTAGTGGTGTGCCATTCAATTAAAGCTTTGCTTTGCTTTGAGATATGAATGAACATGTAAGCAAGCGTGTTCTTTTGCCAGGATTTGGTGGCAATTCATGTGAATGAGGATGATTTGCCGGCTGTGGCAGTTTGTGATCGATTCTTGTTGGAGACTATGGTCAATGGAAAGACAGATGCAGTTGAGAAAAGTTTGCCGGATAACGATATCATCTTTGTTGTTAGCAAGGGCGTTCAGACCGATATAACAGAGCTTGGGGCTTTGTCCTGCACTTCTGCTTGCGCTGGGGGTCACTCTCAGTGATGGATGGTTGATTGTATCGATGTCAACATTTTGGGTGCAGTCACGCGGCACGTGACATGATGAAAAGCGGAATCCATACTGTGTGACCCTTTTTGGCGCCTGGCTGCCCTGACTCTGAAGAGTCGTTGCGGCAGATGGCCTGCTGCGGGTTCATGAGGGTTGCGTGATGGTAGCCAAAAAGAAGATGTTTTTACTGACTTGCGAAAGCCAGCATGTTTGAATGCTTTTTTGCCGTTGCGGTGCTTGTCAAACACTGTTCGCAGCAGAGCAATGCCATTGCGTAACCATGTGTTCAGGATCGAGGAAGTTTGTTTGTTTTTTATTTTTTATTTTTATTTTACATATCTTTTCGGGATGCTGAAGTGAGCAGACATTAGCATTGTTTGCAAGAGTCGTGCGGTTTTTGCGTTTGCTTCAAGAATTCGATTTGTTGATCAAGGATTTCTTTTTGCCAGATTGGGTGTAAACAACACTTTCGATCTTTTAAGGGGGGGGCAGGGCAGCGCAAGAAAGACATTTTCAACTGCACTGACAACATTCAAACAACATACCAGGGGAATGATCACAAGGGTTCACCGTAATGTTCTTGCGTCGCAACACGATTCCACAGGAAACGGGCGTTGTGACGAGTAAAAACTCCGTGGAAGTGCGGCTTCAAGTATGGCTATGCTGTGCCGCGAATTGATTTTGCGTTTTGATTTGCAAATGTTATTCCTTGTCACAGCCTTTGTTTTATGTTCGGAGTGGGTGCATGTAGACACGATCATTGCGTTGGACGTGATAGGCACGACAGCTGAACGATGTATTGCGGAAAATGCAGCGACAGCTTGTCAGTCAAAGTACGTGAAGGTTGGCCTTGCAAGTC